CGTATTACGTACGATGACGTATTTTATGAGAATATATAAAATGTAATAAAATAAGCACGATAATGATGGTACTAATATAACTTTATTATATATATTTTAATGGTACAAAAATACAGACGTATCTAAATTTAAGGATATTAAGCCATATAAAATTATTCGATCGAATGAAATAACGATATTGTGTAAAGTTTAATTTTAACCGACTTCAAAAAAGGAGGAGGTTCTGAGTTCAGTGTATTTTGTATATTTGTTACCTCAGAATTTCGTCACTTATAAACTCATTTGGATTTTATCTTATTTGAAAGAAAATATTTATATTTTCTTTCAAATATATATCATTAACATTTAGTCCCCATTTGACACTTCCTAGCGAAAAACTTTTTATTTGTTTTAAAATATATACTAATTAAATATGTACTAAACACACTGAACACGTCCGTACGCTCACGCTCAACGCAACGATCGGGTCCAGGACCACCATTACCTTACTATAAGGCATGAATGGCATTTTTTGTTCTTTATCAGTTATATATCTATACATCTATACAAATAAATAAAATTGAAGTGTCTGTTTGTAATGTCAAAATTACAGTTTTTTTACGAAATGCATATGAAATTTCACACACAAAATTTCACAGTGGTAGAGCCAAGCGGTAGCTTTTGCTGTCGCACGGATGGGCCAGCTCGAACCGGGGTGGTACCACGACCTCACAGAATACCAGCGTGAAGTAGAGGTTTACCTCTGCGTTGCGTTTGGTGAGTGCAGGTGGCCGGAGGCCCAATTCCCCCCCCCCCCCCCCAATCAACATGGTAGTGGAATTAAATACAAGACTACCCCAGGAGGGTACCAGCAACCCTGGAGAATCCCTCGCTGAGCATCCACGAACAAACTACTTCACTCCTGAGCGTGGGTGCTCAGGCTGCCCCGCGTATTCTGGGGGGGGCAAAATTCCGCTCGTGACTAATGCTGCTCGGGGCAAGCGGAGCAATACAACCAAGGCGACCCCTGTCACGCTATCCGTGAATTTTTGCAACATCAGGGGACTTCATTCCAACCTTAACGCTGTCCATTACCATCTAGAGACGGCGAAGCCGGCCTTGCTCTTTTTAACCGAGACTCAGGTGTCCTCTCCGGCTGATACTTCATATCTCTCCTACCCGGGGTACAAATTGGAACACTCCTTTGTGCCCCGGGCTGGAGTTTGTGTATACGTCAGAGAGGACATCTGTTTTCGACGCCTCGGCAGCCTTGAAGGTACGGACCTGTCCATCCTATGGCTGCGCGTAGACAGCGACGACCATCCCCGCGTCTACGGGTGCCTCTATAGGTCCCATAGCGGTAATGCCGACACAGACCGACTCATCGACCACGTCCAAATGGCTGCAGACTCCGTGCTACAACAGGTCCCATCCGCAGAGATCGTGATACTCGGTGATTTCAACGCCCACCACGCTGAATGGCTTGGTTCTCGTTCAACCGATCATGCGGGTAGATCTGTCTACGACTTTGCTTTGGCATATGGTCTAACACAACTGGTTACTTCGCCTACGCGGATCCCAGATGTGGAAGACCATGTACCTTCCCTGTTGGACCTTCTGCTGACCTCTCATCCGGACGGATATCAGGTCTCCGTCGATGCCCCTCTGGGCTCTTCGGACCATTGTCTGATCCGGAGCACAGTGCCACTCACGCTCCAATCGCAGTTGCGATCTACAGCTTGCCGCCGTGTTTGGCACTTTAGGTCAGCTGATTGGGACGGGATGCGGTCTTTTTTTGCATCCTACCCTTGGGGGCGGGTTTGCTTCTCGCCGGAAGATCCCAGCGTTGTTGCCGATTCTGTTGCTGATGTGGTACTTCAGGGTATGGAACTTTTTATTCCATCCTCTGTGGTGCCCATCGGAGGCAGATCCCAGCCATGGTTTGGTCGCTCCTGTAAAATAGCATCACGCTATAAGCAGGAGTGCTACCGGGCCTGGGCTGACGCATCAACGTCTCGGGATTTAAACACCAGCGCACTTAAAAAGAAGTATAATTCCGCCTCCAGGTCCTTCAAAAGCGTCATTGCCAAGGCAAGGTCTGAGCACATCGGCAGAATTGGCGAGAAGCTAGTTCGCCTTCCTTCGGGAACCCGTGCATTCTGGTCTCTCGCCAAGGCTGTCCAAGGGAACTTCTGTCAGCCATCCCTCCCATCTCTGCACAGAGAGGACGACTCACTGGCCCATGCCGCAAAAGAGAAAGCCGATCTGTTGTGCTATCTTTTTGCGTCCAACTCGACTCTAGATGACGGGGGGAACACACCGCCGACCATCCCGCGATGTGAGTGCTCCATGCCGGATGTGCGATTTACACAGCGCTCGGTTCGCAAAGCACTCTTCTCCCTGGACGTCAGCAAGTCGAGTGGGCCCGATGGAGTCCCTCCCATTGTGCTGAAGACGTGTGCTCCGGAGTTGGCACCGGTTTTAACGCGTCTTTTCCGGTACTCCTACTCCCAAGGCGTAGTCCCGAATTCATGGAAGACAGCTTTGGTCCACCCGATCCCTAAAAAAGGCGACCGCTCAGACCCGTCCAACTACAGGCCTATCGCCATCACCTCCTTGTTCTCCAAAATAATGGAATCCATTATAAACTGCCAGCTCATGAGGTACCTTGAGGATCACCAGCTGATCAGTGACCGTCAGTACGGTTTTCGTCGGGGTCGATCAGCAGGTGATCTTTTAGTTTACTTAACTCATAGATGGGCGGAGGCAGTAGAGTCCAAGGGGGAGGCATTGGCCGTTAGTTTGGACATAGCGAAGGCCTTCGATCGGGTCTGGCACAAGGCGCTTCTTTCGAAGCTTCCTTCCTATGGGCTTCCCGAGAAATTGTGCAAATGGATCACCAGTTTCCTTGCTGATCGGAGCATCAAGGTCGTAGTAGACGGTGCATGCTCTGATTACAAGCCTATCAACGCTGGTGTTCCACAAGGCTGCGTGCTATCACCAACGCTGTTTCTCCTGCATATCAATGATATGTTGCTAACTGGTAGCATTCATTGCTATGCAGACGACAGCACTGGGGATGCCTTATATACCGGCCGTGCCAATATTTCTCGGGAAAACGTCGCCGAGTACCGGGACAAACTTGTGTCTGAAGTCGAGTCTTTGCTTAACAAAGTCTCGGATTGGGGCCGACTAAATCTAGTCCAGTTCAATCCCCAGAAGACACAAGTTTGCGCGTTTACCGCTAAAAAGAACCCCTTTGTCGTATCTCCTCAGTTTCAAGGCACTCCCCTTGCTGCCTCAGCCAGTATCGGAATCCTTGGCGTCGACATATCGAATAGCGTGCAGTTTCGTGGTCACTTGGAAGGGAAGGCCAAATTGGCCTCTAAAAAGCTTGGCGTGCTCAGCAGAGCGAGACAGTATTTCATGCCGGCACATCGCTTGCAACTTTACAAAGCGCAAGTTCGGCCCCACATGGAATACTGTTCTCATCTCTGGGCCGGGGCACCCCAGTGCCAGCTCCTTCCACTTGACCGCATCCAGCGCAGAGTGATTCGAATCGTCGACGACCGAGTTCTTTCCGATCGGCTCGATACACTGGCACTGCGTAGAGATGTTGCATCTCTTTGCGTATTTTATCGCATCTATCACGGGGAGTGCTCTGAGGAATTGTTCGGACTAATTCCAGCCGCTCAATTTCACCATCGCACGTCGCGACAAAACTCGCGTTACCATCCATACCATCTGGATGATTGGCGGTCCACCACTGTGCGATTTAGAAGAAGTTTTCTCCCTCGCACAACTTCTTTGTGGAATCAATTACCACCAGCGAATTTTCCGAACCGATACGACTTAGGAACCTTCAAGAAAAGAGCTTACACGTTTCTAAAAGGCCGGCAACGCATCTGCAATTCCCCTGGTGTTGCGGTTGTTCATGGGCGGCGGTAGTCACTTAACATCAGGTGAGCCGCATGCTCGTTTGCCCCCTATTCTATAAAAAAAAAAAAAAAAAAAAAAGAAAGTAAATACGGTACTTATAACTAAAATACAATTTTTAAAATTTTTGTCTGTCTGTCTGTCTGTTTGTTCCGGCTAATCTCCGAAACGGCTGGACCGATTTTGACGGGAATTTCACTGGCAGATAGCTGAATTCATAAGGAGTAACGTAGGCTACTTTTATTTTAGAAAAATAATTAGGGTTCCGCGCAAAAACATAAAACCCTAATACGCGAGCGAAGTCGCGGGGAACAGCTAGTTATAGATAAGATAGGTCTAATTTGTACTAAAACCGACTTGACGTCGTATCAGCCCTACCCCTGGAGTGTTTTTATAAAGCCGTAGGCGCGGAGGGAGAGCAGCTCTCGCCCGCTGTGGCAAAACGCAGGCGTCTATGCGAGCCGTAGAGGCTGAGGCTGGTCGCCGAGGGCGACCAATAAACCGAAGCTGCAGAGGTGAGCATAGGAGCTTGTGATTTGCTACGCAAGGGTGAAGGGGCTGGACTCCTCGCAGCGCCGAAGCCGTTGCAGAAGTGACTATGTCAATTACTGCAACGCAAATTTCAACAGTTCGTTGCGGTGAAAATTTTAGAGCAACAAATTTTTAAACTTTGTACCTAATTAGCACCTAAAAAGCCCCTAATTTGGGCTTTTTCTAAAAGCAATTTTGATTCAATTCTGATTCTCAGAAAACCTGAATTTTGCATCTGCTTTGTTCTGAATAACGACTTTATTTTTATTAGGGGCGCCTTATCATTGCCTATACTTGAAGCACCTAATTAGCGATTAATTTCTTGCTATTAATATTTATCGTATATCTGATAACTTCATTGCGTTGCTAGCGATACGTTTTGCTAGAAACGCAAATTTCAACAGTTTGTTGCGGTGAAAATTTTAAAGCACCTAATTTTTAAACTTGGCACCTAATTAGCACATATAAAAAGCCCCTAATTTTGGGTTTTTCTAAATGCATATTCCTGACTTTGCGTTGCTGGCGAGACAACTGTAAATGGGTCCATATTACAGATGAGCCGTGATGAAGAAAAAGGTGAAGAAGTTGTTACTCAGACGGCAGCTAGTGAGGCCATTGGAAGAGCACTTACAGATACTGAACCAGGAAGATTGCTTCAGTACACATGTAAAGCACCTGCTGCACCTGAGGGATACCAGAACAGATTACGAGTTGTGTACTCACAAGTATGAATCTATCTCTAGAATATAAGATATATTATAAGACTATTAATACATAATTATGCTTTGTTATCATTAAGTAATTATCAACATTCCATCTTAGTCAAAAGTGCACCCTCATCTTGATTTTTTACAGACCATAGATATGTCAAAGGACTGAAGAATTTTGATGTGCACGCCAAAAATATTTAATTTCTTTATTTAAAAAAATCATGGTTAACCTAATCTGTGTTTATAAATTAGCACTAAATGTTAATAAAATGTTAATATAATTGGCATATAGCAAACTTATTTATGAATAAATTATGAAGTAAATATTAAGTAAAGAGAATTATAACACATTTTCAGGCCAAAGTTCCTTCAACAGTGAAAAACACCACAAGATACATTCCACAAGCCCCTGACAGAATACTTGATGCCCCTGATATTTTGGACGACTATTGTAAGTTTATAATACATTACATTACGTTGGTACATTTGAAGATTACTTTAACTAACTGAACGCTATGTTTTGTTCCTTAGATCTTAATTTAGTAGACTGGAGTGCATCAAACATTCTAGCAGTAGCTTTAGGCAACTCAGTGTACCTTTGGAATGCTGGAACTGGACAAATAGAACAACTTCTGACACTAGAAGGCTCAGAGACAGTATGTTCTGTTTCTTGGGTACAAGGTGGTGGTACACACTTAGCTGTTGGTACTTCATCTGCAACAGTTGAACTGTGGGATTGTGAGAAAATTAAGAGATTGAGGGTATGTAAATTTTATATAATTTCAAACATACATGGAAGAAATTTAAAGGGTAAAAATTTTGAAAATTTTGACTAGAAAATTCAATCCTTTATATTTAATATTAATTAATTAAATAATAAATATTGTCCAATATAAAGCCCATTACAAGTTTATAAGTCCACTGTTCAGCTTATTTATGCCTTCCCCATACATAAAATGACACAAAGTATGTTCCTCAACTACCTGCATCCATTCTCTGCTTTCCATACCAGGTGTCACTCGTATAATAAAGGGCCGCCCTACACTTAAAACTTATTATTAACTAGCTGTGCCCCGCGGTTTCACCCGCGTATATCACGCGTCTCAGCCGCATGACATGACATGCCACCTCGCTCATGAATTTCAATCATTTTAGCTAAAAATTGTCAAAATTAATGGAGTACTTTTATCTATCGACATATGTACATTAAAGAACGAAGATAAATTTTATCCATTCTCCCTCCCACTCCCGAGTGAGCGTCATCACCCCGCAACCTAGAAAATACCCCGAGGTGCGGTTTTTTTAGTTTTAAAGAAAATCCTACACGACACATGAAAAGTGTGTAGGTACGAAATGATCCTTGATAAATTTTCTATCAACCTATTATACATTCAAAAGCGATATAACTTATAGTTTCCACGCAATTTGCCACGAAATATGAACATTTTTTATCATTTATCGATTTTTTTTGCTGAAAGTTTAGTTTTCTTAAGTATTTCCCACTTTACCGCCGAGATATATGTACTTTACTTTAGTCATACATGTATGACTAATTACTTTAGTCATACATGTATGACTAAAGTAAAGAATAGAATATGCTCTTTAAAAAGAGGAATTTATTTCTCCTATGTAATGTTTATAGTTTTCTTTAAAAGTGGAAAAAACCGTGCCTCGGGACATTTTCTGGGGCGCGAAGGGGTGACCCGCACTCGGGAAGGGGAGGTAAAGTGGATAAAATTTAAATTCGCCCTATAACGTTTATATATCGATAGATAAAAGTACTCCATTAATTTTGCAAAATTTTCCATACATTGCTGCAAACATCCACTCTATTGCAAGCGTCCATTGCTGGTTTCTCTCGGTTCTCATCGGGCGGCTAGCGTTTATGCGTCGTTCGCACAATTTTGAAATGACATTGACAATAATATGTATAAAAGTAGAATTCCACTGATTCATATACTATTAAATAGCTTAATTCATAACGATTCGATATGTTTAAGTTTTATATATAGCCGGTATACGAAATTAAAAATATATCATTGTTTACATTAGCGCCTGCCACTACTGGACGATCTTCGGTACAGACTCTGGACGTTTGGCGCGTAAAAAAGAAAAATGGCCAGGCGCTTGACGGGTTAACAAAATCAATATTTAAGGCTAGCTGAGAGGTGCAGCCTCATGCTAGATAGCCTATACTGTTCCCCATGAATCTGGTTATAACTTAAAAAAAGAATTAATCGGACGGGTACTTCCAGAGTTAGCGTGTTTAAACAAACAAAAAAAACTCTTCCGTTTTATTATATTAGTATAGATTATTTAATTTAATCCATATTTATTATTCTTAATATACATTTAACGATGCGTGCGTTAAATGTACCTATTGACTGACAAGAAGACCCTGGATATAGAAGAAGAGATAGACAAGTTGCACTGGGATATTATTGCATTATTTGTTGTCCGAAGACAGGGGGAAGACACTATAATCCTCCAATCTCTCAATTTCTTCTAACCCTGGGAAGGCGAATATTTAATACTGCTAGTTATAACATCCTTATATTGCAGGTGATGGATGGGCACACGGGTCGAGTGGGCTCACTAGCATGGAACATGTACATAGTTTCTAGCGGTGCTCGGGATGGTAACATTGTGCACCATGATGTGAGGCAACGTGAACATGCTCTTGCTACCATCAGTGCACATTCACAGGAGGTAAGTTTTATGTGGTTTTTTTATAGGAGAGGGGACAAACGACCATGCGACTCACCTGATGGTAAGTGACTACCGCCGCCCATGAACAATATCAACACCAGGGGAATTGCAGATTTGCCGGCCTTTTAAAAAGGAGTAGGCTCTTTTCTCGAAGGTTCCTAAGTCGTATCAAAATACAATATGAATATGAAAAATCGCTGGTGGTTAGAAGAAGTTTTCTCCCTCGCACAAGGAAGTTAAGAAAACTTCTTCTAAATCGCACAGTGGTGGACCGCCAATCATCCAGATGGTATGGATGGTATCTCGAGTTTTGTCGCGATGTGCGATGGTCAAATTGAGCGGCTGGAATTAGTCCGAACAATTCCTCAGAGTACTCCCCGTGATAGATGCGATAAAATACGCAAAGAGGGATTGCCTCTAGTGCTCGTTGAAAGCAGACGTGTTTGTCAATTAGCATAAAATTATCGTAATTTTAATATTAGTTTGACAATTAAAAGTGATTCTTAATAGCACAGATTTAAAGTTTAGTTAATTACAAAGTGCATAATAACTTGAGATCTTGTGTTTTTTGGTGTAAAAGTACACAGTGGCACGTGTGCAGCCCCGCTCACTACCGCGAGTGACGATAGCAGCTGCCATTATTCATCACATTCGCACCCGTACGAATACTTTGCACGCGACGCAATGAATCTACAGTGAACACCGCCTAGTGGTATGTTGATAAGCGAAAGCGGTGACAAAGATTTCCATTCTAACGTATGTCCGAGAAAAAGGAAGGAACGCGGTGATGAAATTGATTATAGAAAAGATTTTGCAAGTTTTAGAGCAGACATCATGAAATTCTTAGAAGAATTCGACAAAACGCAAAATGCGAATCTGAACTAGATACGCGAAGAAATATCGGTAATTAAAAATGATATAAAAACAATAAAATCAACAACAAAAAATTTTACACAACGATTTGAACAAATAAACACTGAAATAGAAAATATTAAATCCGATCATACTACTACTCAAAACAAACTAAAAGACATAGAAAGTGAAATATCCCTGATAAAAGATAAACAACTCATTGAAAGTTTAACGGATAAATCGCCCGTCTTTCGCCACGAAAACCTCATCGTCGAACTCAAAGACCGATGCGATCGTGAGAAAAATATTATTATTGCGGGTATACCAGAAATAAATGAAAAAAAAATTACTAAAACGAGACGAAATTACGATAATGAAGAAGTGATGAAGTTGTTGATATCATTGCATAAAGACTGCCCTAAGCCAATTAAATGTATAAGACTAGGGAAATATGTTTCAAACAAGAGCCGGCCTATCAAAGTTTACTTTAACAATATAAATACTCCGAAATACCTCTAACGAAATAAAGAGAACCTAGCCGAAAACATATGTATTTACTCAGATAAAACACCAGTTCAAAAGCAGTATTTTAAACAATTGAAAGAGGAATTAACGAAACGAATAGAAAACGGCGAAAAAGACCTTGTTATCAAATATATAAAAGGCATACCTTCAATTGTTATAAAAAAAAAACCTACCAAAAAAACCAATACCTAACGGCTTCACCACATACCGAAAAATACACGGATAGACTAAGAGATATTTCTCGAAATAGGCAACTTGGCAACAGGAACACACAAAAGAATTCAATATAAAGCAATTGATTATGAAAAATTATACAATACTACTTTAATAGCCCAATATAATAATAAAGATAATGACTTTTACTACCTAGAGAAATTTATGTTATAACAAATAAACAAAAATAAAATAAAAAAAAACAAAAATTCTAAACCCACCTCAACACGACTGGATAAATCGAGATATGATAAATTCAACAAATTTACGAAACAACTAATGGCAGCAGACTAAATCTCATCCAAAAGATAATAACCTACAAAAAACCTTAATTAAAGAACAGAACAAAGTCAAAATTCTTATCAAGACACACAAGAAAATCTACTATCATAACTTGTTCCATAACAGTTACAATAAACCTAAGAAAATGTGGGAGATAATTAATAACTTAGCATTAAATAAAATTAAAGACAGCAGTGCTCCTCCCAAACTAATGTCGAACGCGGGACTCATAACAGAAGGTAACTCAATATATGAATTATTTAATTATTTTTCTCCTCAATAGGCTCGGATTTGGCTAACAAAATTCCTAATATGTATCACATAAACACTGGTAACACCCCTATGTACGAACGTGACTATACACACGAAATTACACTAAGCGAACTCATACCTTGTACCACTAATGAAGTATCAAAAATTAATAATCGATGATCTCGATAGCAACACTAGTACTGGTCTAGATGGTATAAGCACCAAAGCGATTAAATGCCTAAAAAGCATAATTGTAGAAAGGTTAACGAATTGTATAAATGTGTGTTTAACACGCGGTGTTTTTCCCGACACTCTAAAGGTTGCTAAGGTCAGTCCTATCTTCAAATACGGAAATAGGACTGACCCAAGTAAGTATAGGCCAGTGTCTGTCTTGCCTGTCTTATCAAAAATATTTGAACGAGTCATGTATACTCGCCTAAACGATTACTTAAGTTAAAAGAAGTTTTTCATTGACCAACAATATGACTTTCAATCGAAATCGAGCACTCTCACAGCTGCAGTAGACTTAATCACAAATATGAAAACTCGTATCGATCAAAGGAATTTTGCTTTGGGGATTTTCATTGACATAAAGAAAGCATTTGACACAGTAAGCCATCATAAGCTACTGCAGAAACTAAACAACATAGGTTTTACAGGCAAGGCCCTCGAAATGTTCACATCATATCTACAAAATAGGCAACAAGCTGTTCAAATGGATAATTTTACTAGTTCGGTTAAAAATGTATCGTACGACTGTCCTCAAGGCTCAATTATCAGTCCATTACTTTTTTTTAATTTATATAAATAATTTAAAAAAAATAGGGCTAACAGGACACCTTACCTTGTACGCGGATGACACATGTCTTTTCTATTTCGATAAATCAATTCACAACATTATAACTTATGCTCAAAAAGATCTTGACCTACTCGGAGAATGGTTAAAATATAACCTACTAACAATTAATACCTCAAAAACATCATTTATGATTTTTTCCACAAAGAATAAACCTTTACCAGAGTTTGCACATCTTACTATTGATAGTAAAATAATAAAACGTTCAAGTCAGGAAAAATATCTAGGCCTGTTGGTAGATGACAAACTCACTTGGAGACTGCATATTAATCATGTCAAATCAAAACTGATGTCATTATTAGGTGTATTACGTACGTAAAGTCGCAAACTGTATTCCGAAAAAGGCACGTACAATTATATACAACTCTTTAGTTAAATCGCATATCGAATATCTAATTGAGATATGGGGATCAGCCGCTAAAACTAATCTAGATCCACTTCAAAGAACCCAAAATAAAATTATTAAAGCATTATTTCACTACCATTATCTAACTCCAACAAAAGTACTATACGAGAAAACTAACTTACTAAATATTACACAACTTTATACCTATTGCACTTCCAACCTAATAAAAAATATAACCACTAATTCTATTCAATCAAACCTACAGTTACATAAAAAAACAACAACACACAACTTAAGAAGTAAAAATAAACTCCAACTAAAGACTGCACGAACTAATTATGGCAAAAATACCCTATTGTTTGAGGGAGCACAGCTGTTCAATAAATTACCAGATGACATTAAAAACTGCAACAACATGAAATTGCTTAAAAGTAAACTTAGGAAATACGTACGCACATTGTAATCTTTTTAACACATGGTACCTAATATGTATGTGCATAACCTAAGACTATATCGCTTCCAGCACTAGAGGTAGATATGATAATATTATCAAATTATAATAATTACTTTGTATCTCATTATAAGTGAACCATTGTATGTTCGTATGAGAAATAAAATTCTTTAAACCAAAACCGAAAAGATGCAACATCTCTACGCAGTGCCAGTGAGTCAAGTCGATCGGAAAGAACTCGGTCATCGACGATTCGAACCGCTCTGCGCTGGATGCGGTCAAGTGGAAGGAGCTGGCACAGGGGAGCCCCTGCCCAGAGATGGGAACAGTATTCCATGTGAGGTCAAACCTGCGCCTTGTAAAGTTGCAAAGTTGCGGTGTGCCAGCATGAAATACTGTCCCGCTCAGCTGAGCACGCCAAGCTTTTAAGAGTCCAATTTGGCCTTCCCTTCGAAGTGACCACGAAACTGCACGTCACTCGATATGTCGACGCCGAGGATTCCCATACTGGCTAAGGCAACAAGGGGAGTGCCTTGAAACTGAGAAGATACGACAAAAGGGTTCTTTTTAGCAGTAAACGCGCAAACTTGTGTCTTCTGGGGATTGAATTGGGCTATATGTAGTCGACCCCAGTCTGAGACTGTTCAACAAAGTCTCGACTTCAGACACAAGTTTGTCCCGGTACTCGGCGACCTTTTCCCGAGCAATATTGGCACGGCCGGTGTATAAAGCATCACCAGTGCTGTCGTCCGCATATCAATGAATGCTACTAGTTTGCAACATATCATTGATATGCAGAAGAAACAGCGTTGGTGATAGCACGCAGCCTTGTGGAACACCAGCGTTAATGGGCTTGAAATTGGAGCATGCACCGTCTACTACGACCTTGATGCTCCGATCTGCAAGAAAACTGGTGATTACACAATTTCTCGGGAAGTGCTTTGTGCCAAACCCGATCGAAGGCCTCCGCTATGTCCAAACTAACGGCCAACACCTCCGCCTTGGACTCCACTGCCTCCCCCCGTCTACGAGTTAGGTAACCTAAAAGATCACCAGCTGAGCGACCTCGACGGAAACCGTACTGGCGGTCACTAATCAGCTGGTGATCCTCAAGGTACCTCAGGAACTGGCTGTAAATAATGGTTTCCATTACTCCAGAACAAGGAGGTGATTGCGATAGGCCTGTAGTTGGACGGATCTGAGTAGTCGCTTTTTTTAAGGATCGGGTGCACCAAAACTGACTTCTATGAGTTCGGGACTACGCCTATGGAGTAGGAATACCGGAAAAGACGCGTTAAAACCGGTGCCAACTCGGGAGCACACATCTTCAGTACTATAGGTGGGACTCCATCAGGCTCACTCGACTTGTTGATGTCCAGGGAGAGGAGTGCTTTACGCACCGAGCGCTGTGTAAACAGCACTTCCTGCATGGAGCACTCACACTGCGGGATGGTCGGCAGTGTGTTCCCCCCGTCACCTAGAGTCGAGTTTTAAGCAAAAAGTGAGCCCAGCAGATAGGCTTTCTCTTTTGAGTCATGGGCCAGTGAGTCGTTCACCCTGTGTAGAGATGGCTGACAGAAGTTCCCTTGGACAGCCTTGGCGAGAGACCAGAATGCACGTGTTCCCGAAGGGAGGTGAACTAGTTTCTCGTCAATTCTGCCGATGTGCTCTGACTTTGCTTTGGCAATGACACTTGAAGGATCTGGAGGCGGAATTATACTTCTTTTTAAGAGCGCTTGTATTTACATCCCGGGACGTTGATGCGTAAGCCCAGGTTCGGTAGCACTCCTGCATATAGCATGATGCAATTTGACAGGAGTGACCAAACCATGGCTGATTTCTTCCTCCGATAGGCACCACAGATGATGGAATAAATAATTCCATTCCCTGAAGTACCACATCAGCGACAGAATCAACAACAACGTTGGGATCATCCAGCGAGAAACAAACACGCCCCCAAAGGTAGGATGCAAAAAAAGACCGCCTCTCGTCAAAATCGTCTAAACTATAGTGCCAAACACGGCAGCAAGCTGCAGACCGCAACCTGCGATGGGAGCGTGTGTGGCACCGTACTCCGGATCAGACAGTGGTCCGAAGAGCCTAGAGGGGCATCGACAGAGACCTGATATCCGTCCGGATGAGAGGTCAGCAGAAGGTCCAACAGGAAAGGTACATGATCCTCCACATCTGCGATCCGCGTAGGCGAAGTAACCAGTTGTGTTAGACCATATGCCAAGGCAAAGTCATAGAGAGTTCTACCCGTATGATCGGTTAAACGGGAACCAAGCCATTTAGCGTGGTGGGCGTTAAAATCACCGAGTATCACGATCTCTGCGGATGGGATCTGTTGTAGCACGGATTCTGTAGCAATTTGGACGTGGTCGATGAGTCGGTCTGTGTCGGCATTACCGCTATGGGACCTATAGAGGCACCCGTAGACGCGGGGGTGGTCGTCGCTGTCTACGCGTAGCCATAGAATGGTCTTTTTACCTTCAAGACTGCCGAGGCGTCGAAAACAGATGTCCTCTCTGACATACACGCAAACTCTAACCCGGGGCACAAACGAGTATTCTAATTTGTACCCCGGGTAGGAGAGATACGAAGTATTAGCCGGAGAGGACACCTGTGTCTCGGTTAGAAAGAGCAAGGCCGGCTTTGCTATCTCCAGATGGTAGTGGACGGCGTTAAGGTTTGAAGTCCCCTGATATTGCAGAAATTCACGGAAAGCGTGGCAGGGGTTGCCTTTGTCTTCTTGCTCCGCTTGCCCTGAGCAGGTTTCGTCTTGAGCGGAATTTCGCCGCAGCCTGAGCACCCACGCTCAGAAAAAGTAGGGTAGCTTGGGTGTGGATGCCTAGCGAGGGATTCTCCAGGGATGCTGGTACCCTCCTGGGGTAGTGTTCCTTTTAATTCCGCTACCATGTTGATGGGGGGGGGGGGGGAAGGGGGGCCTCCGGCCACACGCACTCACCAGGCGAAATGCAAAAGTAAACTTCTACTTCACGCTGGTATTCTGTGAGGTCGTGATACCACCGCGGTTCGAGCCGGCCCATCCATGCGACAGCAAAAGCTGCCCTGTGGCTCTACCACTATTAAATGTGTGTGGTGGAAGTACTAAATCACATCTGATCCTGTGAGTGTTCTAAAGAGGCTAGTTAGGCAATTCCCTGAAGATCTTATGTCTTGCAAAAGATAGTGTTAACCATCTTATATTATATCAGATATGAAATACAGTGTCAAAAATAAAACGCAAAATTTTTCCTCCATATAAATGGCGACTGTTCTTGAAGTTTCACATAAAAAAGCCTACCTGACCATGTATGTGGTACTTTAGCGACCGCCGGATAGTAGAAAATCATCCAAAAACACTAATATCAGTTTCACAAATTGAGTTGAAGTTGAAGCATTATATAATAGAGGGAACAAAAAAAAGCACATACCAGTCATTGTTATAGGTAGTCATTGCATAATAGGAACTTATTAGATAATTTTTTGAGAGAGAAGAGATTTGATTATATTTTAATCATGCATTAATTACATAAATGCATGTTACACGAAAATTTGTTATCATTTGTTGTAGTTTTCAACAAATTCCAGATGATGTTTTAATCTTTTGTTTATAATTGATTGTTTGCCATGTTGCATAGCATAAGTTCCTAAAGTTGTAACATAAAATGAAAATCATTTAATTTGTGATGAAGTGGTAACATAACATGTTTTCAAGTCTTTAAATGTTTACAAATTTAAATAATATCAACAGTATATGAAATCAAAGAGCAATGTTGCAAAATGAACAATTAATGGCTCCGAATCGCAGTGGCTTTAGTAGTAAGTTGTGGTGCTGAGAGCTGCATGTTTGAATCTCGCATGGAACAAGCATTTGTATGTCCCTAAGAACTAGCCTTATGAATTTCTTAAGAACATTGAGCTATAGAAAATTTTACAAGTGCTCATGTATCTTCAAACCTATAAGAAAACTTAATCCAGCTGTTGTTGTATGATACATAACTGACATTTTAGAACATATTATTGTGATGCTATTCTCCCATATTATGGAGAAAATGTTTCTTTCAATGCGAGCCAGTACTTGACTATATTGTAATATTTGGTGGTTGAAATCAAATTTTTGGAATTGACAGATAAATCTGTTAAAAAAAAAAGAGAAATATTGCGAAAACAAATTAAATAAAGAAATCTTAATTGATTCCTAAAGAACACACATGAAATTTTTTTGGTTATTTTGTATAAGAAGGTTACACGAAACACTGTGGCCATTAGAAAATATTTTTGCCATTCAAAGTTTTAATATTGTTTACAACCACAGTATTAATAGTATGGTGGTAAGATAACTGTCCCTTTTTCAATAAATTTTTTGTTGTTTTGTTTAATGAATTCTGATTAATCAATATGCATAATTTTTTTTTAATATAGAATAAGGTTAAGTGGATACTGTGGCCTTGCATCAATCCTCAATAAAGAATCAAAATGTAGACGTGTTGTCACCCCTGAGGACTAAGATGAAATGCCTAGTTACCAGTCTAAAGAGTCTATGGTTCTCTTCTCTCACCATATGAATATGAAACACACCAGCATCAGCATTCTGTGAGAGTGTCTTCCTTCCTGTGTTAAACTCTTTCATATTCTTCTTTATAAGGCCGTACTGCTGAAAACAGTTTGATGATTGCAGTACTCCCATCTTTGATAATGCTTGGTTTGGATATTTTTCACCTGGGAGACTACAAGATCTTTCTATCATTTACCTTGGTATGCTCTTACGACATACACACTTATAATTAATTGATTTTTTTTATCTGTTACAGATCTGTGGTTTAAAGTGGTCCCCTGATGGCAAGTACCTGGCATCAGGTGGCAATGACAATCTCCTCAACATCTGGCCAATTGTTCAAGGACAGCACTACACACAACCTCAATATCTCTATTCTTTTAAGTAAGAAATCTTCTCTGTTGCTTTTGTAAAAAAATGCTACAGCAATGAGGGCTAATAATTTTCTGCTCAGATGTCGCTAGTTGACACTGAGGTAAAGTTTTTTGTTACACAATGTAATTTACTTTAGGAAGTTAGTTATAAATAAAAGTTTATCAGTTTCTAGAGTATTATATTAATACACAAAACAATGCGTCAGTAGTTTGGTCTTTAATTTTTGTGCACATTTTTAATTTTTCTACTTTTATGAATATCTGTGGTTTGGTTTATTTATTTTTAATGTTATTAATATAAAATATAGCTAATAGTACAAAAAGAAACAATAACTTTTACATTTTCCGAACAAATTAACTTCCCACTTATGAAACCTGTCAAATATAATACCTCACTTTCTAGTGGCGCCGCCCTGGTGGCAGAAAATGTCATGTCTTTACCTTTATCTAGAATTATTTTTCTAGAATACTTGTGCTTTTTTTAATACTTTGTTAATTTTTACAATAAGGCAATCAAAAAGTTATAACGTGTTGTGAGAACAAAAATGAAAACCACCAACTACAACACCAACACAAACAACAACCGTGTCATGTAACAAGGGCAGATTATCTTATGTACTTAATGAACTAACGAACTTATTCTCTTAAAATATTTATGCCAGAGTAAATCTAAATTAAGACTAATTAAATGGATAAAATAACACCTTTTTATAAGAATACTTATGACATCATTTATATTATAATTATAATTTCTAGCCAACATTTAGCAGCCGTTAAAGGGCTAGCATGGTGTCCATGGAGTGCGGGTATTTTAGCTTCTGGAGGCGGCACTGCTGATCGAACCATACGAATCTGGAACATCAACACTGGCGCAAACCTCAACACTGTTGACACTAAATCTCAGGTATAATTTAATTTATTTAAGGAATTTATTTATGTTTTTAGTCATTATCAAGAAAATTATTTTTAAATTCCTTAGTTAAATATGATTTGCATTAAAAATAATGTGTGAAAAAAAAACTTCCCTGCCCCAAACCTACCATTTCCTAAGGTTAACTTAGTTTGTTTGTATAGTGACAGAGATACATTTTAAACTATTTTCAGAAAAAGTCAAATGAGTCGAAAAATCTTTGTAATACTTGATTCACATGGATCATCATGCACTTCAATTGAATAATGATCCACAGGTGGATGGATGCCAAGATATTTCTTTTTCTTCTATCCACCTGTGTAGGGATCTTAAAATAATAACTTTTTTCTATGCCACTTGGACCCACCAATGTCAGGATAATAATAATAATAATAATGGGGTTGTTATAAACTAATTTGCTTAATTCCGCGTAAAGAAAGAAAATGATGTGTCCTGTCCAGTTTTAAGGAGACCTCCCACCCTCCCTCAATCCCGCGCACTATACCCGTCGCCGTTAATCCCAGCACTACCACCCCCAGCACCACCATACTAGGCACGACACACCACTATATTATTATTAATATTATTTCTTAACGTCAAGTTGTTGATTATTACTTTAAAATAAATAAATATTACACCCATAAAAAGTTACTCCCTAATTGAGAACATATTTTATTGTGTTCACAATATTATATCTTTTCAAAATAGTGTCCATTTACATCAATACATCGCTGCATCCGATGGAACCACTGAGAAAAGCACTTTGCCTACTCGTCCTTAGGGGTCTCTTCGACGACATTTTGAAACGCAGCCACTGCTTCCTTGGCGTCCATAAAACGTGTTCCTAGAAGTTTTTATTTTTATTTTCGGAAATAAATAAAAATCACAAGGTCAGCAAACACTCTGACAGCAGACTGTCTCTTAGTTTCAGGATCATAACAATAAATCCTGATTTCGTCATCCGTAAGTATGTCGAACACAGCATTTGAATCACCTCCGTTAAATCTTCGAACCATTTCACGACACCAATCAACACGACGGAGTTTTTGGCCCTCTGTCAAATTATGAGGTATCCACCGGGCTTCCTGACCGCTAAATATTCATGGAGGATTTTGTGCACTTGACTGAAACCGATGCCTAAGCTTGTCCGAATCTGCTGATAATTCACTCTTTTGTAAGTCTCTATCATAAGCCGCACAACACTATGTTATCTTCAGTCGTCGCCGTAGAAGGCCGTCCCTCACGCAGATTATCGGTGAGATTAGTGCGACCACGTTTATACTGATTAACCCAGTTGTAAACAGTGGCAGAGATGTGGCTTCATCGTGAAAGGCCAATTCAAGTCTATCATAACTTTCTTCTTGATTTTCTCGCATTAAATTCATGCTGACGTGACACAGACAATTTTCTATTTGCCGCCAAATCGTAAACAAATGACAAATTAATAAAGTACATACACAATAATATTGGCAGAGTACCATTTTCAAAATTTGAACTTATTTTTTTATTATATCGTTTACAAGTGGCCAGTTCTAAAAACTTTCAGTGCCGCCCTCGTATGTCGTGTCAAACCATGTTTGGTACGATAGATCTATTGAGTAGATCCTTGGAACGAAAGAAAAGGGACCTCGCTGAGGCAACTTCGCCCACGTTTATATTAGTCTACGCTACGCCTTTGATTGTAAGCTGTTATTTAAAAAAAAGTCCCGCTGTGTTTCTTGCTGGTTCTTCCAAGGACAGACTTTTTTTCGAACCAGTGATAATTAACCAAAAGAGTGACTTTCAATAAGTATTATTTACAATCTAAATTGAATAAAAAAGTTTCTGTTTCTGTATAATTATGAATAATACACGAGTCACGGACTCATCCGAACGACGCACGATAATCCACGAACACTGAGTTTCGGCGCCGCCGAAGGTTCTTGAAGGAAATCGAAACTATTACCGAAACTAGATTTTTTTGCCGAAACTTACCAAAACCGAATCTTCGGTCGGTCACTATCTAAAACAAATTTATACGAATAAAGGAATTGAACATGTATAATCAAAAACTTAAAACTTAAAATACATAAGATATAAGTACTAAATTTATCATGATTCATTTTTCAATTTTAATTTTTTTCGGGTATATTTTGAGAATTGATGATTTTTAAGAAGTAATGAAGTATATCTTAATGACGATGATCCACGACTTTTTTAAGGGCGGTGCCACTTAAAAATGAGGTGTAATATTTGACACATTTCATAGTGGGGAAGTTAATTTGTTCGAAAAACGTAGAGGTTACGGTTTCTTTCTGTACTATTAGTTATATTTAATATTAATTAGATTAAAAATAAATAAACTAAACCACAGATATTCATAAAAGTAGAATTATTAAAAAAAAAAGTTAAAAATGTGATAAAATGAAAGAGGAAACCATTGAGGCATTGTTTTGTGTATTAGTTCTACAAACTGATAAACTTTTATTTATAACTAACTTCTCAATTAGTTGCTTTCACATGGAGTTAATTATAAAAAGAGGTAAAATATTTATAACCCAATAGAAACATTAGTTATGAGTATCACATTATTATTGGGAGGCCTCTAGAAAACTTTAAAAAAATATAGGTGGTGGATCTACTACTTTTCAAAGTAAAATTTGTAGGAAACTACCAACTTCTGAAATCATACCTACCTCCAAGACAAACTTCGAGTTGGTAACACTGTCGTTAGTGTCGTTTACTTAATCTTACTTTTGCTTTGAGTTCAGTTTGTTTTTTGTGTTCTCTTGTTGAATTGTACCTAACTTTATTTTTATAGTATAGGGTGACAAACGAGCACACAGTCCACCTGATGGTAAGTGATTGCTGTGGCCCATAGACATCTACATTTATCCTCGTTTGCGAATCAAAATGCAGATGCGTTGCCACTCGTGAGGACTAAGATGGAATGCCTCGTTTCCAGTAAAAAGGGTCTCCGGTTCTCTACATCATTCTCTACACCACACGAAACACAGCAGTGTTGAGCTGCTATTTGACGCTGGTATACTTGTAATGAAATGGCTATTGACTATGATGTATCGTAATCGCATGTCAGTGCGAAGTCTATTTTACGGTATGATAAACGTTACTATTGCATAAACGTTAAGAGCAGGTTAACAATCTGACCTTAACATTCAATATTAACCAGTTACCACTAACAAGCGATACAATGTAGTACGTATGTTGTCATTCTAATGAGAGAAATAATATAGTCACCCTCCTAGAGTCCAGCATCAAAACAGTCGACCTCAATAATTACAGCGCATCCCAAGTCTACTGCTAAACATCTAACTTCCCCATAAAGCATGGTCCTCAGCCAGTTACATCCTTTGACTTCATCTAGCGTCGCTTAAATAAAATTAGTAAATATAAAATTATAATATTTATAAAAGCTTTTATCCAAGTTACTACAGTTTATAAACTGTGATAGTAACTTGGCTACACCTTACTATCTTATGCCAGAGAAGAAAGGAGGAGTAGTTAATAAAACATACCTACCTAACCTTGTTAGAAGTTACTTCCAAAATTAGTTACATATAGTTATATACTTTTACGATATAAAATATTCATGGAAAACCGTAGCAGTAAGAATACAAGCCAACACTAAAACATATTAAGTATGCAAGCCAACAGCAACACCACTTTATCTATTTGGAAATTTCTTCCTAACCCAATGTGAAATACCTTTCAAAATCTGCGAGTAGCTCTCTTTCTCCTTTCTGCCGTGTTTCCCTTAATTTTTAAATAAGAGTTTTTAGAAACGTAGTGGTCCATCAGGTGACTACCGTCAAAACAATCTAGTTACTTAACTGCAAAGATTAACTCGAATGGTTACAATTATTCGCAGGTGTGCTCGATCGTGTGGAGCACGCACTACAAGGAGCTGATCTCGGGGCACGGGTACGCGAACAACCAGCTGGTGATCTGGAAATATCCGCTGATGTCGCGCGTGGCCGAGCTGACCGGGCACATGGCGCGCGTGTTGCACCTGGCGCTCTCGCCCGACGGCACCACAGTCCTGTCGGCCGGCGCCGACGAAACGCTCAGGTCAGTGCTTCGCCCAGTCATGCTCTAGTGGTATTTTTGTACACCTTGCTCTCTTAATCGACGATACCCATAGTTTCTACCTGTCGACGAAACGCTCAGGTCGGTGCTTCCAACCAGTCATGCTCACCCGGTACTTTTGTATACCTTGCTCTCTCAATCGATGGTACCCATATTTCCTACCCGTCGAAGAAACGCTCAGGTCGGTGCTTCCAACCAGTCATGCTCACCCGGTACTTTTGTATACCTTGCTCTCTCAATCGATGGTACCCATATTTCCTACCCGTCGAAAAAACGCTCAGGTCGGTGCTTCCAACCAGTCATGCTCACCCGTTACTTTTGTATACCTTGCTCTCTCAATCGACGGTACCCATAGCCCATAGTTCCTACCCGTCGAAGAAACGCTCAGGTCGGTGTTTCCAACCAGTCATGCTCACCCGGTACTTTTGTACACCTTGCTCTCAATCGATGGTACCCATAGTTCCTACCTGTCGACGAAACCCTCGTCAATGCCTCCGCCTAGTCATGCTGTCCTGGTACTTTTGTACACCTTGCTCTCTCAATCGACGGTACCCATCCATAGTGCCTCCAAGCAGTCATGCTCTCCCGGTACTTTAGTTCACATTACTCTCTCTATCGACATTACCATAGTACCCGACGTCGAAACACTCAGGCCAATGCCACCGGCCAGTCATGCTCTCCTGGTACATTCTTTAACCTTAAGCTCGCTTTACACTATGGATATAATGCAATTTATATTATCTCAAGATATAAATTAATATCGCTCACCATACTTTTTTAATGGAACCGTTTACATACAATTATATCTTATGTAATTGGATGTAATATATATTACATCTATCTCATACTATAAATATTTTTTCGATCGACCGAGCCATATTTTCATATTATAATTCGCCCCCTGTACCCCGCACACCGTTCCGCGCCACCGTTACATCTTCAAATTCGTGTCTGTCATTATCTGAGTGAACTTGTGCGTAGTGCGTATACTCATTTGTATTCGTTAACTTCACAGAATTCATTAAAAAGTAAATTCACCATATTCACCATATTCACCTCTAAACTTTATATTATGATCTGATATCCAGTATCGACGCTCCCTGTTTTTACCTAAAAGTAACATGTAAACAGAATTCATCATCTATCTCTGACGAACTGTCGAGGCTATCTATCAAAACAATATTCATTTTGTTTGTAAACGACACATGCGATGTGGTCCAATGACGAACACACACTGGATAAAAAGTATATCTCACAGTGTGAAAGCCAATCGCGGGATATAATATAATATTGTTAGAAATTATCATCAAAGTTATTTAAATAAAAGAACACTACTCGGTAACAAACCCTGCTTACTGTCAGAACCCCAATTATATGGTAAACACCAAACTATGCAAACCACTTCATTCGACGGTACCTTGGTCTTACCTGTTGACGAAACGCTCAGGGCAGCCTCCGGTCTTATGCTCATCTTACACTTCGTCTTTTGACGTCATTGCCTCGGACTTCAAACTCTGTCATGATAGTTCAACTTGCTGATTTCGCCCGAGTGCATTAAATTACTGACGAGACGCTAGATCGGTTGCTTTCTGGTGTTTTGGCCCGATGGTATCACTCTATTGTATGTCAGCGAGATGCTCTGGCCATCTATCTATCGTATTTTATCTGCATCTGCTTTCATACTCGCTTTTGTACTACTCACGTGCACGGAGTATGTTATTTATTAGGTAGGTTTTTCAGTGGGAGCAGGAAATCCGCAAGTACCATTTACATAACAAAGGCTCCTCAAGGTGAAACATACGGTCTGCTCTCGGCCAATATTTCCACGAGATGGCGCTGAGGCCATCATTTTTAGAGTTATGTTTAGAGTTATGAAAGAAACAGATGGAAAAATTTGGGATGTGCAAGCGGGATTTAGAAAGGGAATGGGATGTACGGATCAGGTCTTTTCCATGCGCATGATCGCGGAGAAGTTTTTGGCCAAAAACCAAAAAGTTTTTTGTGCATTCATGGACTTGGAGAAGGCCTATGACAGAGTGGATAGGGATGTGTTATGGCTAACACTGAACTCATTTGGGTTGAGCGCTGGGTTGATACAGGCATTGAAGTCTCTGTATAGGGACTCTAGTGCTTGTGTCAGGATCAACAGGGCCTACTCGGACTGGTTTGGCATCCATAAAGGTGTCGGACAGGGCTGTGTGGCTTCCCCGTGGCTGTTCAACCTATTTATGGACAGTTGTTTGGAAAATTTGAAAGTAGAAGAATGTGGGTTAAGAATGGGTGAATTAACCGTCAAATGCCTTTTGTACGCCGATGATCAAGTCATACTTGCCTCGTCGGTGGCCGAGTTGCAACTGATGGTTACATTAATGAACAGGACATTAAAAGAAATGGGAATGAAAGTGAACGCAAGTAAGACGAAAGTTATGGTTTTTGAAAGAGAAGAAAGTAAAACGATCTGAATGACAGAGTGAGAAATTGTTTGATAAGAGAAGAGTGTGGATTGCAATTTAAGAATAAGATTAAGAAAGGAATGCTTCGGTGGTTTGGTCATGTAGAAAGAATGAATGAGGAAAGAGTGACAAAGCAAATTTATGTTGCAGAGGTGAACGTCAGAGCCGGGTAGGGTCGCCGTAGGCGAAAGTTTATCGACCAAATTGGCGATATATTGAAAATGGGCCAAATCAAGAGTACCTTTAATCGACGAGCGTGTATGCGTAGGTATATGGATGTGGAGGAAGCGAGAGAGGTGTGTCAGGATCGTGCCAAATGGAAGTCCATAGTCTCTGCCTACCCCTCTGGGTGACAGGCGTGAGTGTATATGTATGTATGTATATGGAACATTATTAAGTCGTAGAAGTAGCTCCCGCGGTACTTGGACATTATAATTTATTGTACTAGGTCATATCATTGCCTTAAAATCCACACAATTCGACACAAAACCCTAAAATAACATCTGTCATTGAATATAGTGTCGTTTACACACACAGACGTGGCTGAATTCCTAGTCCTCCCTACGTTTACGAAGATTGAACACTAGATGGCGTGAATGACAAAAAATGTTTTTCTTTTTTCTGTATGGGTTCTATATAATGTATTATGTACGATTCATCATCTGTCTAGCCTTTTTCCCCAACTATATTGGGGTCGGCTCCCAGTCAAACCGGATTCAGCTGAATACCAGTATTTTACGATTATGTTATAAAAATAAAAGTTGTAATTGTAGGCGTAAACTTAATGCAGTAATAATTTTGGGAAATAAAAGAAACTCAAAACACAGAAGATTTGTAACATAACCAATTATTATAAAATTTGACATTACCTAACACGTAAGAAACTATTCATAAACAAGAGATAACAACAAATCTAAAAAACAATTTAGTATGCGATAATAATTATTAAAGTATTAATAATAATATAATTAAATAAAATAATTTAATTAAATTATTTAAATAATTAATTAATTATATAAATAATTGCCCACCACGCCGAAGGGCTCGTTTCACGTTTAACCGATCATGCGGGGAGATCTGTTTATGACTTTGCATTGGCATATGGTCTGACACAACTGGTTACTTCGCCTACGCGGATTCCATATGTGGAGGATCATACACATTCCCTGTTAGACTTTCTGCTGACCTCTCATCCGGACGGATATCAGGTTTCTGTCGATGGCCCTCTCGGCTCTTCGGACCATTGTCTGATCCGGAGTGTGGTGCACTCACGCTCCCCTCGTGGTTGCGTTCTGCAGGTTGCCGCCGTGTTTGGCATTACAGGTCGGCGGATTTTGACGGAATGCGGTCTTTTTTTACTTCCTACCCATGGGGGCGGGTTTGCTTCTCGCCGGATGATCCCAGCGCTGTTGCTGACTCTGTCACTGATGTGGTGCTACAGGGAATGGAACTATTTATTCCATCATCTGTGGTACCCATCGGAGGCAGATCTCAGCCTTGGTTTGGTCGCTCCTGTAAGACTGCATTACGCAGTAAGCAGGAGTGTTATCAAGCCTGGGCTGCGGCTTCAGCGACTCGGGATGTAAACACCCGCATACTTAAAAAGAAGTATAACTTCGCCTCCAGGTCCTTTAAAAGAGTTATTGCCAAGGCAAAGTCAGAGCACATAGGCAGAATTGGCGAGAAACAAGTTCGTCTAAAGATATGTTCTGGCCTGGATAATATGTATTATTCATTGTATTATTGAAATTGTCGACTATTTTTTGACATTTATTTAGACGCCTAGCAGTGGCGTCTTCTTCATCAGGGAGAATAAAATGTATACAACGTAAAATAATAAAAAATCTGTTTCTTGACATGTATTTCGAAAAGCATGATTTATATAACCAGTGACCCTTCCAATAATCTGTCAATCGGTTCATTTTTGCAGTGCCAGTATGTAACAGAAGGCCCAGAAATGTTTTGAACTCTTCAACGGTCAACTCTTTGCATCTTGAAATACGTGCATGACGATGTTCACTGGAGCTTTTCATACGTTCGGCGTATCTGTTTGTGCACTCCACGATCATTCTCAAATATTCTTCATTGAAAAATAAACAAAAATAATCTATTGGATGTGATGGCGGTTCTACATGCAGCTTTGACTCTCGAACGAATGGTATTTGTTTCATAGACGAGCAAGAAGTACTCCAGTGTGAGGTTGATCCTTCGGTGGAAGGTTCAGGGGACTCATGTGGCATAGCTGACTCTTCAATCGTTTCATTCAACTCCTCCCTTTCCGCAGATGAAAATCGAATTTCACTAGGTGGTAGCGGTGATATAACTCCTTCTTCATCTTCTTCCGACTCCAGGGTTGAGCTGTCTCCATCATCATCACCCAATAAAAAATCTTCGTCTTCATCACTTCCCACAAAATCATCCTCATCAGAGTTTCCTAAAGCTTCAAGAATATCCGATTCGTGCAACAAAATACGTTTTGATTGCGCTCGCAAAGGTATCTCGTTTGATCGTTTCGTACCCCTAGAGGTACCAGGTTGATGATCACTCATTATAAATTTTGTTTTATTACAATTATTATCACGTTATACTACAAAAAATACGTATTATTTGTTCACAATTAACTAAAAACAAACAAGAAAGCCGTCCGGCTCGAGCGGCGACGCTAAGCGAACTAACCAATTACGTAGCACTAAAACTATCGCATGATTCGGATGGCCACGCCCACTTTACAATAGCTCAGTCCTTACTCTAGAGACCCATAAAAAACACCATTGCGATAACGCTCCGGCCCAGGCGATACGCTTCATACAAAACTCGTCGGACACTTCACGCTTCGTTGCGTGAAGGGCCAAATTGAAGAGTACTGGGAACACGCGACATATTACATATTACATTGCAATCAAATACGTACTAGAAATATTGGAAATTGAATCAATGAAAATCATACAAAAATATATAACACGCAAGAAATTCCGCGCGCAAATCCTATCGCGTGACAATCTAGAATTACATCAGAATGTATTTTATTACAATGAAAAAAAAAGCGAACGAAGTTTGGCAACGCCGCTCTTCTTTCAACGTAGGGCATGTACCTATGTCAAGGTTAGGAAGGACAGCATCGTTGCACGAATAATGGTTGCCAAGCAACAGAAATAAAATTGTATACATTGCCGTCAAAGGTCGTCAGTTTTATGTTATTTTATTGTTTTTTTTTAATGAACGGTAGGAAAGGAAATAAATCAATTTTATATATAAGATATCGATTTATAATATCGTCTGCACGTCATCTAGCGTGCCAATGTTTAAACTATGTTTTTGACGCTTTTGCTTGTCAGTTTTCAAAAGTCACATTACTAAAGAAGTGTCAATAATTTCCTAGATTTCATTATTGTTATTGTTCCTAAAAAGGTCAATCGCGAGCACATTTCAGTGGAAAAGTGATAAAATGATTAGTTTTAAACAAATAGTGTCTGTGTTTAGCGTATATGTCCAGACAAAAATGTATGGGCGGGCTATCGGAGCATCCACCTCAACAAACAGTTATCAAAAATCTTCTAACAGACTTGTAACAAAAGGCTTCTAACAGATGATCAAGTTGGTCTCAATACATAGTTATCTTATTTGTTTAATGTCCACTTCTGAATCCTTCCTCTCAAGAGGAATAGTCGCTGCTTCCAGACTTTAGTCGGAATATCTATACAAATAAATAAAATTGAAGTGTCTGTTTGTAATGTCAAAATTACAGCTTTTTACTAATTGCATATGAAAGTATATACGGGTACTTATAACAAAAACACAATTTTTAAAAATTTTATCTGTCTGTTTGTTCCGGCTAATCTCCAAAACGGCTGGACCGATTTTGACGGGACTTTCACTGGCAGGTAGCTGATTTCTTAAGGAGTAACTTAGGCTACTTTTATTTTAGAAAAATAATAAGGGTACCGCGCAAAAACATAAAATCCCTAACACGCGAGCGAAGTCGCGGGGAACAGCTAGTTTTACATATAACATATATGGGATGGTATCGCCAGCTAGGCCATAAGATCTTCCTAAAATTTCCAGTATTCGTATCTTACCAGAACCGTGGGAAGAGATGAAGGCTTATACCAACGCCGCCACCTTACGTCGACGATTACTAAACTACCTATATTTATTTTTACAGGCTCTGGAAATGTTTCATGTTAGATCCGTCCAAGAAGAAAGAGCCCACTGACTCAAAGGCTGCGAAGTCCCTACTGAACATGAATTCGTTAATAAGATAAAATTAAATCAAGTGAATGTACATTGTAAATTTTGACTGAAAATACTGTGGTTTTTAATGTGATAAATTAGGTATGTTTTATCTAAAAATCTTTTACACCTAATAATATTGTTTCATAAATGCCATAAATATATCATAAGATTATCAATTTTTAAACATTGATAATAAATATTTGATTTGATTTCTACCATTTTGAAGTCTTACAATTTTTTAATAAAAAGTGAAGTTGAGGTCGTAAAATGTTAAAATTATCATTTATCTCTTTATGTCTCAAATTTCATTTCTTATTTTTGCTGTCGCTTTAACCTACGGTGCCTTCGTATTTCCCTTCTCTTATTTCCTAAACTGATGCATTTCTCTACCTCAGCATCCTTAATTATTAACTTTATAGTAATATTGTGTGACTGAAATGTTATATCGTCGTGTATTGTTTCTATGAATTTAAGGTGTTTAAGATTATTTTGACTACTAATTGTGATGTTTTATTAAACATTAATAAAAGATAAATTGTTTAATTTTTTTTTAATTTCACTTATGCAATAAGATTGACTTAGTGTCAGTGACACTAACATGTTTGGTTCATTCGAAACTCCATTTGTTTACACCAATAAGGACTGGGTCAAACCTCCCAAGACTTGGTGATCTCATTAGGTACTTTGATGACTGCCACTTTTAAGCATGTAAGTCTTTTACATGCTCAAAACGGCAGTGGCACATTATATTTTAGCCCATAATAAGTCTCTACCCAAATCATCAAAGCCCAAATTATATACAACAATATTGATATTTTTATTATTTATTTTTTGCTATTGTCAGGCCAAAATAATACATAATTATTCTAAAAAAATCTTTTATTGCCTTCTAATACAAATAGTAAACATGGAATGTAAAGATAAATGAAATAAAATAAGAGAAAAAAAAAGTGTAATTAATTAAGTGCAAATAAAATGTGCGTCGATCTAATACGAACATTCTAAAAATGTGATGCTGTTATTGCAATCGACAATAAAATACTATAAATGGAAGCCGTTAAGTGACTAGAACTAAAATTTTCGAAGAACACATTTTTCACAAGCGACTGATAAATGCAAAAAGGAACTAATGAAACAATTATAATAGACTGGCGGACAGTTTTCTTTTTAATCTTTATACTTTCATGAAGTAATGTTCATTACTATATTGTATAATAATAGAACTATAGAAATAGATAAAAACATAAAATTAATGATTCCTTTCTGATATACATTTATTGGAAATAGGGTTAAAATTCATTAAAATAAATATTTTGATATTCGTGTCACTTCAAGTATGCACAAAAATCAATTTTTATTTTGATTAGCTTCCGTTCTATTATAGTTATGCTAAAAATGAAATTGTACAGTTTTTGTAGATGCAATGATATTTTGTTCACAAGGAAATTTTGCACACAGCGAAATTTTCTCCAACAAAAGATACCTACGACAATCGTAAGACCTTACATGAAAATCAAATTATGCATATTACTAAATTCATTGTACTTTATAACATGTTTTCATTTATTATAAAATCACAAAACAGTTCACTTATCATAGCTACCATAGACTATTATGTTTCATAGTTAAAATGTGATAATGAAATACATTTATTTAAGTCTTTTGTTTCACAATGCACTTATCAAAATATCGCAATCGTATTCATTTAAAATATTATTGCCATTTAGTATAAATTAAACATTAAAAGGTCCTAAATTTAATTATTTTGAAAATTCTCTCATGCTATCTTAATCTAACAAGAACACATTTCATATTAAATCGATACGTTGTTTAAAAAAGAACTTCTTACCATCGCATCGATACAACTAAGGTTTAAAAATCTTAAATAATTATTTTAGCTCTGAAGATTAATATTCGGTTTAACCCTAAGCCACTACCATCGGACACGGTGATCGCAACAGTTTTTTTTTTATAAATTATTACTAATATATATCTTGCAAAGGATGCATCTGTGGCTTCTCTCTGCTAGTAATTGGTTACCAATTGGCCATAAAAAAATTCGTTTTAATAGAAATTATGTGATGTTTTATACAAACTAATTTTGTTTTCATATAATATTTTGTATTGTTATAACCGACATAATGATAGAGAAGAGATCAAGTAATTTGTTCCTTCTCCTTGTGTAGGCTAAATATTAGTTCCCTTTTAGTACAAGTGTAGGTGTAATAATTTAAAACTTAAGTGCAAAGTGGATAGTAGCATATATATAACGAGGAGGACGTGTCGATATGCTCTACTAAGTGTTCGAACTTCACACACGGCGCGCACATCGCCAGCCGATGTTTTTTTTATAGTTTACTGGGCATATTACTGTACCTATATAACAATTGGTTATATTTCCTGATGGAACTATATAGTAAAAGATAACGGATAACACCACATATAGAACGCCGTGTGAATACATTTTATTTGTCAAGTTCTAAGTGTTCCAAATCATTTTGTGTCAAAATATAATAATTATAATTAAATAATACATGTATTACTGTAATAAAAAATAGAAAATATATTATGATTACTATAAACTTGCTTAATGTGATCTCATAAGTAATTTTTAATAACTTTATTTTTGGTTATAAAATGATTACCAATCAGTAAAATTCTCATTCTCCATGAACAATTTGTCGTATTAAATTTTTTTTTCATTTACATAAAAAAAATTATAAGTAAAAAATGTATAAATACGCAGGTTATTCCAATTCTTAAATATTAATTTTCAATAGCTAAAATAGCCGCATAACAAACAAATTGTCACTATAACCAAGGGTATGCACTAGTGTAACTAAAAATAAGTTAGATAGCTAAGAGTTAAGTATACAATGTAAGATTAATTAAACAAAATTAGTATTATAGCTAGATACATAGCTCTTGATTTTCAAATAAATAAACAAGCCCGCCTGCCGAATGAAAAATAAACATGAAATGCTCATTCCAAATAAGGTGGCAGCTAGCCTCGATAAAATCACACGTTCACACGATTTCTAGAACGCTACAACCCATAAATAGCAAGGCCTCTTAGTAGAAATTCATCAGTTGTTTGTGGGATACAAAATATAAATACTACTGCAGGCGAGCCTAAAAATGGAGAGTGGATTAGTTGGAGATGAGATTCGCTCTTCTAATTTCGTATTGTCAGTTTTAGTACATAATAACCTTAAGTTAATACTTATCATAAAACGTCTTCGCTTACAAAGCGTGGAATTTGACACAAAACGCATCTTAATGACATTTTTAACTACAATCTATTAATAATACAAAATTTATTAAGCTCAATTTCTATTGAAATGTGGCAAAAGAACGATAAATAATATAAGATAATGTAGGTATAAAAACAGTTATAATTTAATAAGTACAAAATTGTGTTCTTTTATAATTGGTTATACGTAATTTTCTTCCTATACGTATATAATAATTAAGAATTTAATACGGAGTAAATATACACCATATTTGTTACTGCATTTTGTTATATCAAAATTCATACTAAAACAACTGTGACATTTAACAGGGTAAGTTGTGATAAGTCTCTTCCTAAAATGAGAAACAGATCACATGTATATTGTCGTATTCAACAGATCAGTAATGTGATTATATCGTTTCCTAATACTATGTCAACATAAGTACTTTAATAAGTACATGAGAAATAAACACAAATCGAATATATTTTGTATTCAAATAACTGAGCCAAGACTGCGTGTGTGTGGTGGGGAACCCTCCGCCATCATGGCGGACATTGCGACCGTATTTGAAATGGGTTCTATATCGCGCACCAGCTGTTCATTGCTTGTGGTTAAAGCACCGCCATATTTAAAACTTCTGCGTAAACTGGAACGTATGCTTTTCACAGAATCGCTCTTTCTTACAAACGAGCGACGGAGATAATCCCGGGTGAATGTTAGTGAATTCCGGGAGGAAGTGGGCCGATTGGGTCTGGAATCAGTCTCGTTGGTGATGGTTATAGAGGGTGTTGTAAAGACACCGCTGTAGTCGGGTGGTTGTGCTTCGAGTGGCGCGTTCCGATCCACGCTCTCGCTTAATGTGATGGGTAGTTGTGATGTGTCGTCAGTCGGCGTCTCGTTATGTGCTGAAGTTATCCTGTAAACATTTACAAACATGTGAGTAGTAAAACAAATTAAAAGCAGAAAAAGCAAGCTCTTCGTCGTAACTGACATTATTTTTTTGCAAAATCGCTAAAATCAGCTTTATATATTCTCGTAGATTTAATAAAATCGTTTATAATCAAACATAAACGCAACCGTAGCGTTCATCATCATAATTATCACTACAGTCTATCAAAAGTCCATTGCTTAACATAGACCTCCTAAACAGGATTGGCAACTGCAGCTTTTTATTAAACCGACTAGCATATATGCGATTATACAAAGATGTGAAAGAGGTGAGAGTGAAGTCCATGTCTCTGCTTACCTTTCTGGATGACAGACATGAGAGTTTATGTTATGTAATTTTAATTTTTCATAGAATAAGGGTGACCACCGAGCACACACTCCATTTGATGGTAAAACTCATATTGAACATATAAATGTTATAAAAAGTACATTGTTAGAAAGATAAATGATTGTTGAACTTATTAATATTTTTTTTAAATCGATTAATTGCTATTTTTAAATAAAAAGTGGTTTTAGTGGCTTATCGTGTAGATTTATCAAGTCCGCATGGAGTGGTAAACACGATAACTTTTGAAAATATTAATTGTTTGAATCAATCTATTTTTTAATCTCTTCATCTATCATGTGGGAAGCCAGGAATATAAATGGCAGTTTAATTTTATTTTGTTTAGTCATAATTAATTTTTTCGGCAACGAAATGTCGAAATTTTTGGTGTTTTAGCAGCCTTGTATTCATCATCATCATCATCATTACAACCCTTCACAAGTCCACTGCTGAACATAGGCCTCCCCCAAAGAATGCCACAAAGCACGGTCCTGAGCCACCTGCATCCATCGACTTCCTGCAT